TTAAGAACAGGTTGGACAAATGCCTGTCAGGGATGGTCTAGGGTTACTTGGTCCTGCCACGGTGCCGGGGCTGGACTTGATGAGTTCTCGAGCTCCCTTCCAGCCCCACGTGTCTATGATTAGTGAAGAGTGATGAAAAATAGTTCTGTGAAATCTGTGCTGTTGCGGAGCCTCCCCAGCTCTCTCCTCTTCTGTTGCACAGCTCTCCTTCTGTCCTTCGTTCTCCTTTTCTATGCTTGTATTCAAACTGCAGTGTCCCTTGCTAACTGCTGCAAGGTGAGCAGGAGCAAAGCTGTTAAAGTGAAGGGTGTTTAATGTACACAATTTGTGCATGTTACAGGTAAGACTTGGTATCATGAGTACAAAGTTACGCTGTCACCTCCTGATCTTTATGCTGATTCTGTGTCCTATTGTTCTTGGTGCATTGAACCAACAGGTCACGGCTCTACTGGTCTTTATAGACTCTTTGCTTATTTCCGGTGACTCACCTCACTTTTGTGTAATTTCATTTGGCTTTTTTCAGCCTTTCGAAGTCTGTATTTCTTGTTGGCTGTCTTATACCTCTGGGTCAGCTGTGAACTCTTAACGTGAAAGCCACCCAGTTATCCTGTAAAATGGAGTTTGACCCCTTTATCCGTCCCCCCAGTCATACTTTGGCATTAGTAATGAAGATCTATCAGCCAGTCTCATCTTAATGGGCAGGAGGCAATGGGCCCTGCACCCACTGGCCATCGCTGACCGAGCACAGCAGATTGATGATGGTAGTGTGCACACCGGCACCAGGTGGCTGGTGTTCCTGCAGAAACAAACATGTGTCAGTGTAAAGTGCTCGCTGGGCACCCTCACTTGCTGTCTGTGACCATATGGAGAAACAAAGTGGTGCCCCGGGAGCTGAAGGGTGCCAATGGTGGTGCCATTTACAAACCAAATGACTTGTGAAAACTGCCACTGGCATATCCCTTCTGCCCTGTGCCAGCGTGACACCTGCTTCCCCAAATGTTTTCCTGCCACAGACACAACATGGACAGTGTCTGAGCTCAGAGCAGCTTCTCAGACAGGGTTTCTGCCTTGGCGCCAGAAAAATACCTTGAACCGCAAAATGACCCATACTCTGTCCTCACCTAAAGCCTCCGACGCTGAAGGATCACCTAGATTATGGAAACTGTTTTCAGGCTCCGAATGCTCCCAAAGGTGTGTGAGTGTTATGCACTACCTTTGTGATGACCTGCAAGATCAGAGGGTATTGATGGGACGGCGTGCGCACCTCAGTGTTCACTGGTATAACATGACTGCAAGGAAAGCTAGAAGAGGTCGGACTGACCTTCTAGCTCAGTTCTGGCAGCCCTATCAGTGCCCGTGAGATACACATTTTAAAATATTTTAAGCTAAGTTTCTAGCTCGGCTGGTTGCAAAGAGAACTTTCCAAATACTACCTGATGGTAGTGCTGACTTCCTGAGTCTGCAGGAAGAACCAGCCTAAAATAATAGCTCTAAGAGAGGGATGAACATCTTGCGCTCTCTTCAACCGGATGTTGATAATTCAGCAGTATTAACAATTTACTGCTGCTCATTGTGGGCTTGATCCTGCAAGATGCTGAGTAACAGGACTGTGATCCAGCAAGGCACCTCCTTTTAATGTTAAGCATATGGATAAGTGAGGAGTACTGATGTGTTTTGCTGGACCGAGAATCATAGAATCATAGAATATCAGGGTTGGAAGGGACCTCAGGAGGTCATCTAGTCCAACCCCCTGCTCAAAGCAGGACCAATCCCCAATTTTTGCCCCAGATCCCAAATGGCCCCCTTAAGGATTGAACTCACAACCCTGGGTTTAGTAGGCCAATGCTCAAACCACTGAGCTATCCCTCCCCCCTGAGGGTTTGGTGCTCAGCAGTTCCAAGGGTTGAGTCCTTTAACTGAAACATGCAGATTACGTGCTTGTCCAGGGTGGTTTGATGACAACAGAAGTTAGAAATGGAGAAAAATAAATTTAAAATCTCAAGCAACCTGGAAGATCTCCATGGTTAGGGTTACAGTGGAAAGTTACAAGAAGTCCCAGGTAATGTTTAGAATCAGGTGATAAGGCCACCTGACCTAGCAGTGTCTCAGTTACATGCCCTGATGCTTCCCAGGAGGGAGAGAGATAAGTATCTTCATGGTTTTGTTGTTCCTTCATGATGGCTCATCAAATTTGATGACCTGTGGTCTGGTGGGTGTCCTCCCAATACACACCCAGTTGTAATTGTTACATAGTCCATATTTCTAACTTTAGATACAGAAATGCATGCAAATGGAATAATCACATTCAGTAAAGCATAACCTTTCCAATGATACCTTACAAGAGCCATCTTGCCTAAAGTATATCTGTTTTATCATATCAATATTATAAGCGTATTATTATCAAGAATATGGAGTGTAACGTCACAGTGATAATCTCAGATAAAAATCTAGCAGGAACACAGAGGATGTTGTTAGAATTTATATGGAATAAGTAAGGATCAAGAGAGAATGCAGACTCTTTGTACATAGCCATTAAACAGGGTGGACTAGCTTTTACAAAAGGTCTATGATACCATCAAGCCAGCCAGGTCAAAGCAGTAGTGGATTGAGGTTGCTCTAACCAACCAAACACTGGGTCTTTATTGAACAAGAAAATGGCAGCAGTGTAAACATCACTAGGCTACCATGGGATTAATAAAAAAAAAAAATCACGCCCTCCAGAACTGTATACAACATCCTTTAGTGCAGACTGCTCCTCAGGCCTTGAGACCCAACGAGAGATGATAAAAGTTCTTTTCCCTCACCATTGCCAACAATCCAGATACTAACCCAAACCACAGACCAGAGAGCTTTAAAGATTGGAAGAGCCATGGAACACATATGGTTGGCCAGCTGTTCAGCAAAGAAACTTTTCTAATTTATTTAGAGATCAAAACTACCTTTAACTGGCTCCCTCTCCCCGGTACCAGTACTTTCAAGTGACGCATTGTGTTTCTTGACTTTCTGGCTGTGCAGTTTTATACAGAAAACTAACTTTAATAGGTTCCAAGACGAAAAGGGACCATTGTGATCACCTAGTCTGACCGTCTGTACAGCACAAGCCAAGTATCAGGGGGTAGCCGTGTTAGTCTGCATCCACAAAAACAACGAGGAGTCCGATGGCACTTTAAAGACTAACAGATTTATTTGGGCATAAGCTTTCGTGGGTATACATCTGAAGAAGTGGGCTTTTTACCCACAAAAGCTTATGCCCAAATAAATCTGTTAGTCTTTAAGGTGCCACCGGACTCCTTGTTGTTTTAGCACAGGACAGAGACCTGCCCCAACATAATTCTCTTTTAGAAAAACATCCAGTCTTGATTGAAAAATTGTCAGTGATGTAGAATCTACCACAACCGTTGGCAAATTGCTCCAATGATTAATTACTCTCACTGGTAAAAGATGTACACCTTGTTTCAAATCTGAATTTGTCTAGAAACAATGGCATCTGGTCAATAAGGAAACAAACTAACAAAACTATAACTAATTTATATCAAACTTTGCAGACACCTTTCCTAACTAAAAAAGGCCATATATGACACACTGGAAAAAGGACCTGGACAGACACATTACCCCAGAGGAATGGAGTTTGATCTGGAAAAGAGGACCAGTAACCTCAGTTTGCAGCACAGTAAAAGACAATGTCTTTAAGATACTGTTTCAATGGTACCTCTCTGTATAAAATGAGGATAAATTTTGGAGAAATTGTGGTGAAAGAAGAAAAGGAGTACTTGTGGCACCTTAGAGACTAACCAATTTATTTGAGCATGAGCTTTCGTGAGCTACAGCTCACTTCATCAGATCTCGCGAAAGCTTATGCTCAAATAAATTGGTTAGTCTCTAAGGTGCCACAAGTACTCCTTTTCTTTTTGCGAATACAGACTAGCACGGCTGCTACTCTGAAACCTGTGGTGAAAGAGGAGATTTTATGCATATATGGTGGACATGTGCAGTCATTAAAGCATATCTGGATGCAATTCAGAACCAAATATCATAAAATGTTTGATATGTATTACCACGTGATCTTTTAGTAATTTTCCTGTGGCTTCCTAGCAGAAATAGTCCCACAAAGGGAAATGAAGAATTAAGCTCTCCTCTGCTAGGCTACTGATAACCTTCTTTGGAAAAAGAAAAATAGTTCAGCTCTCCGGAATGGCTCAAAAAAAGAGAGGAAGGTGGCTGTTTATGGAAAAATAAACTCACCAATTACTTACCCAGCAAAACAGACAGAAGACAAATAGATACTTAGCTGTTCAGTTACCACTTATTCAATACTCAGAAAACGTACGTTCTCCTGCAAAAAACACCCTAGTACACCTGTTCATTTATTTTTTAAATATGAACATTTGATAGCCGCACCTCATTTGTTAAATATGAGTAATCAGAGAATTTACTCGATTTTATAAAATCGCTACAAGCACCGTGTCATGAGTAGTGCAAAGGTGCTCACTCTGTCACACTGTCACACCCTGTAAAATAGAGACCAGTAATTACATTACTGAATAAGGCTCACTGTTGTAACGATTATGGTTTAGTCTCTAATATGCACATGGATAGGATTTGTAAACCCGTTAAAACTTCCAGAATAAAGACATAATGTGGTTCATTTTTTTGTTCTTTTTTTTAGAAATGGAAAATACGAGAGTTTGATATTGGTGGTATTATTATTATTTATTAGTGCTTTTCAGCCCTAGATCTTCGAGTGCTCCACACAGGAGACGAGACCAGGCAGTTTAACTCCTACTTTCACTGGGGTGAGAGCAGGACTGTTCTCTGCGGGACATCATCCAGGGATTGGACCATTTTAGGCTTAAACAATTCAAGGGATTCTCTTGGGAGAGTAATCCTCAGCCTGCTGTTTGTTTGTCTTGTGGAAGTGCCTAGAGCCAGGGCTGCATTGTGCTAGGTACCGTACAAACACCTGTCAGACAGAGTCCCTGCCAGAAGAGCTTATAGTCTTAGTACTATGCCTGACAAGCAGCACAGATACTAAAATTGGAACGATACAGAGAAGATTAGCATGGCCCCTGCACAAGGATGACACGCAAATTCGTGAAGCGTTCCATAATTTAAAAAACTCTCCCTGTCAGGTCACGTTTCCCTTGATATTCAGGCCTCACCTGCTGTTTTTAGCATCCCCTCATTACTCTTAGTTAAACCACCAGGGGGGAATCCTGGCCCCATTGGAGTCAATATGAGTTTTGACATTGACTTCAGTGGGGCTAGGTTTTCACCGTGGGGCTCGGAATTAGCCAGCAGGGATGGGAAGCTTTTGCCTTTGAGAAAACGTGACGTGTACTGAAGCTGGCCAATAGATATTTTTTAAAATACTTTTCAAAGACTCTTGGGTAACTGGTCAGCTGTAATCTATTTCTGCACTCAGTGGCTGACTGGTTTTCTCGGGACAGGGCCACTAACAGCTTGCACCAGGCTTGTTGTTCCGTGCTGTCAACTTGGTCCCCCTGGGATTTGGCAGCCTTTGGGAGGCTAGTGACCACAATGATTCTGGATACAGGATTTCTAATGACCAGAGTTTTTCCAATGCCCATTCATCTGTCTGCTCAATGCCAGGCAATTTCAGTTGCCAGCTATTCTGGTAAGGGAATATTGACTTTTCAAGTTGATTCTAAGTGTCTTTTTTGCTCTCTGTAAAATTTACATTAAGTCTTCAGTTGTGCTTTTTAAGAGTCCCAGCCCAATTTAAAATAGCAGTCATCAAAACTTCAACACCTCAAGCCTCAAAGATCCGTGCAATTACTGTTTGAAATACGTCAGGAGCAGGACTAATGCTAAAGGGCATTCACTTACATTTATAACATCCAAAGGACACATTAGAGATGGTGTAGGAGATAGTTATGAGCTTGTTTTTTTTTCTTTTGAGAGCTTAGCTGCCATGCTAGTTGTTGTCCTAGGATAATGTTAGTTTGATAGTGTTGTTTAAATGAGGTAAATTACTGGGAGGAAGGATGGTCCAGTGGCTAGGGCCCTGGCCCAGGATGTGGGAGACCCAGGTTCAATTGCTTGCTCCACCATGGACTTCCTGTGTGACCTTGGGCAAGTCCCATAGCCTCTCTGTGCCTCAGTTCCCAGTCTGAGTCCTACCCTGCTTCCCAGGGCTGTTGTGAGGATAAATACATTAAAGGTTGTGAAGGGTATTATTATTCATTAAAGCGTCTCTCTGCTGCACTTGGCTCTTCAATTACAGACGCAGAGTGAACTCGAACCCCCAGATTTTCCATATTCTGTTACGTTTTTGCTTTATCTATTCAGGGTAATGGATTTTTTCTTTGTGATGGGATACTGGAGCACTGATCTGTCTTAGCATGGTATTCTCTTTCCTAACAACCTGAGCCTTACCAGACATCTGGGAATTCTCCTAGGCAGGGCCTAGGACAGCAAATGTTGAGCCTGTTTTTGAGAACCAGTGCGGCTACATAGCTGCTGAAAAACCGGCACTAAGTTTGCTCATGTAGATGAACTTGGGCTGGCCCACTGCACGGGTGAATATCCTGTATGCAGTTCTGTGGCATTTACAGCAAACCTCTCTAATTAATTTCACCGTGGGGAGAGGCTCTTAGTTCTAACGAAGGTGATGCACTGGGATTTATTATTTGGGAAGTTATTACGTGATGCTATTTTTTAAAACAAGTACCAGCTGTTGTGCTGGTATTTTGTATGTCCAAACTATGACACAAGCATTGCTTTAGGCTTCTGACTAGTTTCCTTAGCTGCACTGTTCTGTGTTGCCCTTAAGGTAATATTGTTCCCATAATATAAGAACTAGGGGCCACCAAATGAAATTAACGGGCAACAGGTTTAAAACAAATAAAAGGAAGTTCTTCACTCAGCGCACAGTCAACCTGTGGAACTCCTTGCCTGAGGAGGTTGTGAAGGTTAGGACTATAACAGGGTTTAAAAGAGAACGGGATAAATCCATGGAGGTTAAGTCCATTAATGGCTATTAGCCAGGACGGGCAAGGAATGGTGTCCCTAGCCTCTGTTTGTCAGAGGGTGGAGATGGATGGCAGGCGAGAGATGACTTGATCATTACCTGTTAGGTTCACTCCCACTGGGGCACCTGGCATTGGCCACTGTCAGCAGACAGGATACTGGGCTGGATGGTCCTTTGGTTTGACCCAGTATGGCCGTTCTTATGTTCTTATGTTCAGTGCTTTCCATGCTGGAGCAGTGGCTTTGCAGTCACTCTCTGCCCCTGCAATGGGGGAGATCTGTCACACTGTTCTCCACACTGCCGGGCACCCTGGGACAACTGTGCAACGTACTATTGAAAATGGCTTTCTATTGCATTTTTGGCAAATTTTATGAAATTTGAAGCAAGTCCTTGGCCTGTGTTCTCAGCGAGTCCTTGCATGCAGGGATTATTACCTGTCAGTACACTTCTTTCCTCTTTGCTTTCCTTCATTTCTAGCTTCTTGTCTTTGAATGATATGCTAGTGTTCATTTAAAGCCCTAATTTGCATTTATGTCTGCAAGGCCTATTTGCCCCCGCCTCCGCTAGAGATGGAGTGGTGCATAGCCCTGCTGCTGGCCCTCCTTCGCACAGGGTGAACTTCACCCCAGATGGCTCTGGCTCAGGGTCGGGTTCAGTCAGTTTCCCACCGCACTCTGTGCTTCACTGCTTAATTATATTCTACACATGCGCCTATCTGTTCTTAATGAGTCACTCAGCTTCCCAAGATCCTGTGTTTGAACTTTAAGGTTTAAGTCAGTCACATGTGCATAAATTAATTTGCAGTGCCCTTAATTATGAATAAAAATGAGAGTCCCTCTTCCAAATAACACTTTCTTTGGGAGTTAGAGATCCGCTCAGAAGTCTCCATAATCTGTGGCAAAGCCTTGTTCTCCTGGGGAAGTATCATGAACCTACAATATAACTTATTACACCAGCCAGACTTGAGCCCACAGTCTTTGGCCCCACACCACAGGCACTAGACTTGAGCCACGAAGCTGGCTGGTTCAGTTCACGGTGTGGGCAGATATCCTGCTGGCTCTGTACCTGCTTCATCAGCAGAGTCGGGAGTGATGAGAAATGTTTCAAACTGTTGCTTAAACTAATTCTCTCTCTGGAAGTTTGCCTTGCAAGTTGAGTGGGTTTGGTGGGGGTGGCTGTTTGAAACCGCTTCCGTTTCCATACGATACTAGTGAGCGTGCAGGAGCCAAGCTTGCCAGGAGAGAATGCCCTGCACTTCTCATTGGCTGCATGAAGCTCCGTATGACTCTGCTCCAGCATCTGGAAACATCTCAACTAGCACTGGGCATGCTCAAGGGCTGAGCACAATTGCATCCACATTAACATTACATCATCTCATTTGCATGATGTCTCACGTACTAATGACTTGGTGCTTAGCCTTACACAATGCTTTCGGCTTCCTTTATCCTCATCCATAGGCTTTCACTATCTCCCCCTCCCTCCTATGCATGTATGCACTCCAAGGCTTTTATGTACATTTTGATATATGGTGCTACATCCTTTATTTCCCCGTAATGATGCACTTCCCTGAGTAGTTCCCTGTTGGCATTCCAGTCATGTGTCACACCACCGGGTCTCTGTAATACCAGCGAAATCACAATTGTGTTCATGCATGAGAACACATGAAAATATGTTCATGCATTCCTCCTGCTTATTCCCCTGGTTCCCAGAGTTAGTGCAGAGATGGCTCTGACATATTTTGCCTACTCCCTCCTTAATTCTCTCTCAGCATTTCCTATACTAGTCACATGGATGCATTTTTTTGCCCTGTGCAGACTCCAGGCTGCTGAGTCCTAACATGGAGAAACACACCCTTAGAGCTGCACACCTGGCCTGGTTAAACTTTGTTCCTGTTCTGCAGCTGCTTTGTGCTGGAGCTGCGGATAGGATTTCTTCAGAAAAGTGAGATGCTCATTTACATGCTGTCATTACCCAGAATGCTCTTCCAGACAGCTGATTTTCTTCACTTCTCGACTCCAGACTAGAAAAAATAGAAAAACAATTTAATGATAAAAATTCAAACACGTTTCCATTTTGTGGGGTTCAAAACACAATAATCTATTCAGGAATTTTTATTTTTTTTTAAATTTAAATTTTCATCCTCTCTCTCCCCGTTTTCCTCTTGTCACTGAGTACTATAAAGTCGATGATTATCCAGGAGTTCTTCCTTCATGTCCCATGTTCTCTTTTTGCTATTGTGCCTTTCCAGGACTTCCCTAGCTTTGGTGGTGGTCCAGAGTGATAGTTTTGTTTTTCCTTTTGCCATTTTGTCCCTTCTCCAAAGTTGAGGAAGCTTGGATGAGTTCTAAGATGGCAAAAGAACAAATGGAAAAGGTCAGGAGAAAACACCGCTAGACATCTCCTTTAATCTTACCTGTTCTTAAAATAACTCCAATGGTGGGGATTCCACAACCTCCCTTGGTAGCCTGTTCCACTGCTTAAATAGCCTTAGATTTTCCTAATATCTCACCTAAATATCCCTTGCTGCAGAGTAAACACATTACCTCTAGCCCTCCCTTCAGTGGAGGTGGAGAACAATTGATCGCAGTCCTCTTTATAACAGCCCATAACCCATGTGAAAACTGCCATCAGGTCCCCCCGCCACTGTCTTTTGTGAAGACTAAACACACCCAGTGTTTTTAACCTTTCCTCATCGGTCAGGTATTCTCAACCTTTGATCATTTTCATTGCTCCCCTCTGGACTCTCTTCAGTTTGCCACATCTTTCCTGAAGTGCGGTGCCCAGAACTGGACGCAGTGCTCCAGCTGAGGCCTCACCAGTGTCGAGTAGAATTACCTCCCATGTCTTCCACACAACACTCCTGTTAATACACCCCAGGAGATTCACCTTTTTCACAACTGCATCACAGTGTTGAGCCGTATTTGATTTGTGACCCGCTGTAACCCCAGGTTCTTTGCCGCAGCACTGCTGCCTAGCCAATTTTTCCCGTGTGGTAGTTGGACATTTGATTTTTTTCCTTCCTAGGTGAAGTTCTTTTCACTTGTCTTAATTGAATTCCATCTTGTTGATTTCAGATCAATTCTCCTAATTTAATCATGGGGTTTTTTTTAATTCTAACCC